AAAAAAAAAAAAAAAAAACACGTGTCTCTGACAGCGTGTGGTTTCTTCCTGCCACGATGCTCAGTCAGCCTCAGCCGGGAGCCCACAGGGGAAAAGGGAGCTTGTGCCATCCTAAGGCCCAGCCATCTCCCCTGCTCACTCCCAGGTAGGATCTTCTTTGGGAGGCTCTGCAGAGCCCTGTGCCAGAAAGGCAGGCTATTCGGTTGGTAATGAAGAAACTGCCAGGTACTGGGCATCATGTTTAGCTTATTTAAAATACTCCTGATGGCCATAACGAGTAGGTAGGACTATTAGTCCCATTTTTCAGGAGGGTACACTGAGGCCCAGAGACGTTAAATAATGCGCCCAGGATCACACTGCTACGGGGTCGTCAGAAAAGTCAGGGCACATTTTTACATAGAAAAATATGGATGAGTTTTCCAACGACCCAATATTTAGCTGGAATTTGCAATTTAGGTGTCTCTGGTGCTAAAGTGCATTCTCTTACTGACTATCACTCTTATCCACTACCCCATGTTAGGGGCAGTGGCGCTAATCCGGACAGGAAGCAATATAGAGCAGTATTTCTGTTGTTGGGAAAGTGACCTTGAGCTTTCATGACTTCAGAAGAAACATCTTCCACCTGCTCCTGGTATCTGATCCAAAAGACATGGGGTTTCCACACAGGCCAGGGACAACCACTAGATGCAGAAATAAAAGATTCTCAGACCCTGGACCCCCTGAAAAAGTCAAAATAGGCCCAGGGTGGGGCCTGGAAATCTGCATTTTAATAAGGGCACTGTGGAAGCAGCAGTGTGAGCGCCGGCCTGGCCCATAATTCCTGTCTGTGTGCGGCACTCCCAGAACCCTCCAGGAACATGTCCCGTTGCCACTAGCTTATGCAGAAGCTTTGCTTTGTTATAACAGGGTTATATACTGGGGGAGGGAGGTCATATTTGAGTGCTGCAGACTCCAGACAGTGAAGGAAAGAAATTCCCTGCCCTCTCTCTCTTTTAAATTTCCAGAGGACACGTAAGCCCACCAAAGAAAAAGAAAGAGAGGAAAGAAAGCACTCCCCAGGGGGCTGTGGTCACACCACGATCCTGTCTCCTCCATTTTTCCATTCTGCAGGTATTCTGGGCACCCACATACATGTACCTCAGGTGTGTTTTCAAGCCACCAGGAGACAGGACTCAAATAACAGTCAGCTATGTGGGATTCAGCTCTCTTAACCGGTAGGCTACAGGGCTGGGCCCATAACCTTGTAATCTCACGGAAATTTGCATTATTTTAGCTACGAGAGCTAAACCCTCTGAAGCAGCAGAAAGTTTTCATTCTGGATTTGTTCAGGACTCGGAATATAGCGACAATAACCATCATGTCTTTGCTGCTATGGTAAGTCGTAAATGATCTGGGGGATACAAACATACAGCTCATAAGTATGTAACCGTTTCTTTCTTTCTTTTTTTTTTTTTTTTGAGAGGTTTTTCGCTATAGGGCACGTGCGCTTGCCAGATAGAGAGAGACAGAGAGACAGAAAGCGAGAAATCACCCCCCAGGGGGGATGGCCACGCCACAGTCCCTTCTTCTTCATTCTCCTCTTGGGATCTTGGGCATGCACACACACATGCCTGGCGTGAGTTTTTAAGCCTCCGGGTCTGGGACGCGAACCGCAGTTGACTACGTGGGAGTCCAGCCACATAGCCATTACGCTAACTGCTGGTCCCGAGTATGTAACCGTTTCTTTAGTTCATGTGAATATCATGGCAAGGCATGGGTTTTCCTAAGGCAAAGTAAAAACTATAGAACTATACATTATTTACGGTTTCTTTCTTTCTTTTTTTTTTTTTTTTGAGAGGTTTTTCGCTATAGGGCACGTGCGCTTGCCAGATAGAGAGAGACAGAGAGACAGAAAGCGAGAAATCACCCCCCAGGGGGGATGGCCACGCCACAGTCCCTTCTTCTTCATTCTCCTCTTGGGATCTTGGGCATGCACACACACATGCCTGGCGTGAGTTTTTAAGCCTCCGGGTCTGGGACGCGAACCGCAGTTGACTACGTGGGAGTCCAGCCACATAGCCATTACGCTAACTGCTGGTCCCGAGTATGTAACCGTTTCTTTAGTTCATGTGAATATCATGGCAAGGCATGGGTTTTCCTAAGGCAAAGTAAAAACTATAGAACTATACATTATTTGGAAATTCCTCGATTCAATTCATGGAGCCAGAAACTGAAAAGTCACAGGGAACAACAGGAGTATTTATATAACATGGAAGCCCACAGCAAAAGGGCTCCTTCCATTCCTAATCTTATGGGATTAAGGCTAATGATGTCCCGGATGCCTGAAGCAAAGAAGTTCTTCCTGAAACTGAACCAGCAATCAAATAATGAGAGGTCAGAATAACCTGGATCCCCACTGTCTGGATTGGAATCTTGACAAACTTGTAACTCTTGCCTAGAGCCAACCAACACATGGTTTTAAGGCACAGAAATAATGAACTGGCTTTCTAGACTGGATTTAATATTGTATCTGCCAAGAAATGAGGAAGAAAAAAAAATGCCTACCCCATAATGGCGGTACAAAAAAACAGTAATCAGAATTGGTAGGTTCAGGCTACAACTAGTTCATTTTCAGAACCATCCTGATTTGCAATTAGAAATAAGTAACAGAATGTACACCTCTGAATTAAGAAAGTGTTTTCCAGGTTCATGGCCTTCCTCCCAAGGAAGGCTTGGTTCTTACCTGTCAGTACCTGTCTCTGGTACAATTGTATCCAGCAGGGGTACTACAGAGCAGTAACATATTAATCAGTGGTTCTACCTAGGCTGTTCTTATTACTATAAACAAATGTGAAAATCACTAAGGGACCTAGAGCAATAATGTTTCCTTTTACTGTTTTGTTTTGGATTAATCCTTATACCCCCCAACTTCATCTAGTATGTATTAAAATATGCAACATGTTCCTGAAAACATTTTCCAGCTATCCTCTGCTTTTCAGTCATGTTAATAACAAGCTGATTTCTATACAGGGGAGTCTGCATAGTGCAGTTATTTTTTTTCCACAGAGAGCTTCTGTGGGGAAGCTAACTGTAATGACAGAATATACATCTGCATTCTGTGATACTTCGAAGACTTATGGGACTTTCCCTCTTTTTCCTAAAGTGAGTTTTACTAAATTGGAATTGATTGTAAGTCGATCCTGCAGTATTTTCTATATACCTTCTTCTTTTTAAAATTCTGTTTAAAAATGAAATTTGGGTTTCTACATTCATTGATGCAACTGACATTTTTTCCTCTAATAATATCTCTAAGGGAATGAGGATCCACAAACTATATAGGAAATATTGAAATTTGAAATCAACTAGCCCAGAATAGGTGTTACTGAATATTGGAATATCTAGACAAGCACTGTCCAATGGAACTCTCCATGAGGATGGAAGCATTCCATAACTGCATTACCCAGTGTGGTAGCCACTGGCCATGCGTGGCTTTTGAGTACTTGATGTGTGGCTGCTGTGACCCAGAAACTAAATTTGCCATTTTATATCATTTTAATTTATTTAAATTGAAATAGCCCCATGAGGCTAGCAGCTACCTAAAAGCCAGTAAGATCTAGATACTTTCTTGCTCATTGTAAAATTTAGAGTGATTTAGGCCACTCTTTTGTCATGTTGATCTTTTTGCTTCTATCTTTCAGGATGTTAACCTCCGTGGGTTACTTCGCCCTGTCTCTGAACTCTCCTAATTTGCATGGAGATGTCTACCTGAACTGTTTCCTTTCTGCCTTGATTGAAGTTCCAGCTTACCTTACAGCCTGGCTGCTCCTGCGAACCCTGCCCAGGCGGTATATCATAGCCGGGGTACTGTTCTGGGGAGGAGGTGTGCTCCTCTTAATTCAAGTGGTGCCTGCAGGTAAGGATTTATCCACGACTAAACGCTTACCTGAAAAGACCCACATATTGGTTAGGCCACCATGAGTCCCTGCGCCCTGTTTATGCAGCCTGTGTGTCATAAACCACTCATAAATCAATTAGCAGGTAATAGTTAACTGGGTAACTTCCTGTGTTCAAAACAACTACAGTGTACGCTCAGACAGAGAGTCAGCCCTGGAGAATCAGAAATCACAAACTGGAAGTAATCCTCATTGCTTTCGTAGAGTCACCTAAACCCTCAGTCATGACTCCTCCTTTCTCGATGCTTTCAAACCTTTCCTCGGAGATGTATGTTGCAACGTTAAGAGTTGGTAGTACACGCTGGTTCCATGTGAATAAATTCAGTGGATTTTATGGCCTGAATCTTTAGCTAAAAGCACGGAGAAGGACATATGCTTCCCTTTTCCCCTCCCATCTGACTTTCTTATGTTATTAAAATATTAAGTCAATAAATTCTTGATATTCAGCAATATAGAAACATTTATTTCTTAATATAAAACAGGGCAGAAAGGACTGGCCCTTCTCTGAGGATTAAACTTAACTATATTAACATGCTAACAATTCAGCATAACACTGTTGTAACAAAAAAACAAGCGGACAAAGGGCACTGAATGCATTAACGATTTAGAATAACAGAAAAGCAAAGTACAAAGTCAGCTCTCACTCTCCATCTTTGTCCATGTCCAATTATTAGGATATTTGAAGAGAAAGTGTTATTTGGAGATTTCTTTTTTAGCATTTGTTATAGGGCATGTATGCTTGCCGGAGAGAGAGAAAGCAGCACCCACCCCCTGCTCCCCACCCACCACCTCCCCTCCCCCCAACAGAATGTGGCCAGGCCACAATCCCTTCTCTATTTTCCTCTTGGGATTTTGGGCACGTTCTCACATGCACTCAGTGTGTTTTTCAAGTTGCCCAGTGTGGGATTCAAACTGCATAATATGGCCATGTGGGATCCAACTGCCTTAACCATACCCTGCCACCTGATGGCCCTGGGGACTTTTTTTTTAATAGATATTTTTGCTATAGGGCATGTGTGTTTGCTGGAGAGACAGAGAGACAAAAAATGAGAAATCAACCCCTGGGGGAATGACCACCTGCAATCCCTTCTCCATCCTCCTCTTGGGATTTTGGGCATGCACGCACACGTGCCCAGCTTGCGTCTGAAGCCTCTGGGTCCTGGACTCCAACCATGGTCAGCCACGTGGGAGTCCAGCAATGTAACTATTATGCCATCTGCTGGTCCTAGCCCTGGGGTCTTTTTTAAAAAAAGTTTTGTATGTTTATTTATTCCATAAACAAGAGAGACGGGCAGGGGAGAGAACAGCACTCCCAACAGGGACCTCGCACCGCGGTCCCGTCCCAGCCTTAGCCAGCCGCTAATCAGGGACACACACGTGCCCAACTCGGCACACTCTCCGAGACGTGAACTCAGAACTCTCCCGTGTGAGTCAGCCTCGCGGAGCTGTTGTGTTCTGCCACTGCACCACCAACAGGCCTCAATCTGAGGAATATCTTTATGTCAACAAAGTCATTCTCAATGAAGCAAAATGGCCATAGAAGCAAGTAAGCTAAGCAAGTATCGCTTCCAAAACACCCGTTTGCACTGGGTCTCTTTTCCAGATTATTACGTCTTGTCCATCGGCCTGGCGATGCTGGGGAAATTTGGCATCACCTCCGCTTTCTCCATGCTGTACGTCTTCACCGCAGAGCTCTACCCAACCCTGGTCAGGAACATGGCCGTGGGGATCACCTCCATGGCCTCCAGGGTGGGCAGCATCATCGCTCCCTACTTCGTTTACCTCGGTGAGCCGCGTCTTGGTCTGCTCTTTCTTTCCATTACTGTCAAATATGAAAGTAACAGATTTTCCTTGTGAAAAATTTAAACAGCATAGAATGTACTGGAAAAACTACAAGTTCACGTTTCCTCTCCCAGCTCTCCAAATAGCTCTGAAAGTATCAAACATGAACAGCGAGTAGCCCCTCAAATTTTTTTTTGCATAGCAATATATATATATATATATATATATTTGTACATACATATATTTTTCACATGTGTGTATGTATCTAGAATATCCTTCCAAATAGGTATAAAAGAAATCTTCAGAAGGACCAGCAGATGGCGTAATGGTTATGTCGCTGGACTCCCTCATAGTCCACCATGGTTCAAGCCCCCAGACCCAGTGGCTTAAAACACACAGGGTACATGTGTGTGTGTACCCCAAGTCCTGAGAAGAGAATGGAGAAGAAGGGAATGTGGTGTGTTTATCCCCCCCCAGGGGGTGATTTCTCGCTTTCTGGCTCTCTGTCTCTTTGGTGAGCACACATGCTATATAGCACAAGTCTCTCTCTCAAAAAAAATCAAAAGAAATGCTCAGAAAGTTTGTGGAGAGGCCAAGTGGTAGTACAATAGCAATGCAACTGGACCCACCTGAGAAAGGTTCATCCTGGGCACCTCCCTGAGCACACCAAGTGCGTGTGCGTGCCCGTGATCTGGGCCAGAGAGACGAGGTAGAGCACAGCATGAAGACCCTGTTGGTGGTGCCTGTCTCTCGCTCATGGAAAAAAATTAATGAGTAAAACCTTTTTAAAAAAATTGAATCAAAATAGACTCGTACTTCTTTTTTTCCATGACCCTTTTGATGGTCCTTCATATCTTGTTCCTTTACCTTCCTTATAACAAGTTTGCAGTCTTCCAATATAAAGTGCTTTAACTGGCAATGAAGGATGGCCATGTAGACCATTTCCAGATTTTTTTAAAAAGAACTATTTATTAAATTTTGTTTTTCATTATTATTTTTTATTAATTTGCTATTGGACGCATGTGCTTACCAGAGAGAAAGAGGAAGTGAGAAAGCAAGCTGCCAGGTCCAGGATTTGAACCATGGTTGGCCATATGGGAGTCCAGTGCCTTAACTACCAAGCCACCTGTAGCCCCCGCCATGTCCATATTTTTTGCTATTACAAACAGCAATATCCTCCTATACTCCTACACTCTTCATACATTTATTTGCATACGTTTGGATTCAGATTCATGGAAGTAAAATTGCTGGAGCAAAGAATGCCTTTTAAATTTTTCGTATATGTTATCAAATTGTACTCTAAATAGCGTGCCAGTTATAATCCACCTATCAGTAGAGAAGTGTGGTTGTCACCCTGTAGACTTACCAACAGTGAGGATTATCTTTTAATCATTGTCCATCTCTCATGTACAAAATGGATAGAATGGATATAATTAATTTCTGGTTCTTTAATTGTGAATGAAGTTGAGCGTTTTTTCACGTACTTACTGTCCATTCTATTTATTTTTCAGTGAGCCAGCTTCTGCTTCTTTTGCTCATCCTTCTAATGGTTTATTCATCTTTTTCTGCTTGATTCATGCACGTTCTTTGTAATGAAAGGAAAACAATCCTTTGTTTTCCAGGTTTATCATCTACATTCTGTCCTTATGATTTAATGTATATACCTTAATTCTTGCTATAGGGCATGTGCACTCCCTGGGGAGAGACAGAGTGAGAGAGAGGGAAAGCAAGAAATCACCCCTATGGGGAATGGCCGCACCATAACCTCTTCTCCTCCGTTCTCCTCTCAGGATCATGACATGCACACACAGTGTTCTTTTCAAGCTGCCAGATCCAGAATGCAAACCACACAGTCAGCCATGTGGGATCCAGCCACCTTAACCACCACTTCACTGGCTGGCCCACCAACCTTATGATATTTTTTGCAATGCAGCGAACTTTAGTTTTTACATAATCAAATGCACAAGTCTGGACTAACACCTCCAGAGGACATTAGTAAAATGTTCCGGAAGCCATAGGATCTGGCACTCTAAGCTAGTCCTCATTAAAGACTCCACTGGTAAGAAATATAAACACACTGCCTTATTCTTCCTAAACATCTATTGTTTACCTACTGGTTCAAACACACACATAATACGTTCAATACTCAGAAAACCTCCACCCTAAATCCCTACAGGGAAAAAGAAAAGCCCACTCTGCACTGTTGCTCTGAGAACCACACCTGAGAGAGCATATTGTATGTGGTGGTATTATTTCTCCTTTATTCTTTTCCGTCCTTTCAAACCATGCTCAGACAGCCCAGCGGTGGGCACTGGGACATAAGAAACAGAGTCCAAGAAAGCTTTCTGTTTACAATAGCTACTCCTGTTGGTGACACAAAGACTTCAGAGAAGCTCCGAGATCAATGCTTTTTTTCTTATGTTTGGAACAAATAAAATACAGGGGTATGTTGTTGCTTTATGATTTCTTTGTGCAGAAGAAGAACAAGTTGAGGGTCTATTATTCTCCCGTCTGAGTAATGCCACATAAAAAAGAGGGGGAGTGGTTCTTCCAAATACACATGAAACCAAGACACGTAGGTGCTGCAGGAGGAAACCCAGTCCAGGCACAGAGCTTTCACCGACTATACCCAGTGTTCACCATTTACTGACTTAAGTTGGATTGAACATACTATGTAGATTTTTTGGGGGGGAGAGATTTTTGCTATAGGGCACATACACTTGGCAGAAAGACAAAGAGAGACAGAAAGTGAGAAATCACCTCCCCAGGGGGAATGGCCACACTACAGTCCCTTCTCCTCCATTCTCCTCTTGGGATCTTGGGCACGCACGCACATACACCCCGCGTGAGTTTAAGCCACCGGATTCGAACCATGGTCGACTACAGGGGAGTTCAGCGACATAGCCATTACTCTAACTGCTGGTCCCTGTAGATTTTTTTAAAAGAGAGTCTAATGGCTCAGTGGACCTAGCTTTCCACTTTAGCCTATGAGTTTGGGCAAAAGCAGAGGAACGCCAGACAAATAATGACCAGAACCCTTCCCTGAAACGTCCTGGCCAACCTCTTTCCCCTCAATGGCCTCCCACCCCACCCCTATCTCCAATTACCTCCACTTAGGAGGAGGACTTCGGCAGGCAAGGACTTCTATCAAAGGAACATCTGTCACACATGATTAAGTAGTAGCTCAGAGGATACCAGTTGACAGGAAAAAATGAAAAACCTATGATAAAGCAAAATCAAGTAAGTTAATGATTATAGAAATGCAATGTCTATGACTTCTACCAAAAAGAAACTGTGACATTTTGCTTACTTTTTTCTCCTGAAAATGTTTAGATTTGAAGCTGCTCTGTGTGTGTGCATGTGCATATATATACACATACACACATATATACACACATGCACACACTTGTATATATAGTCTGCCACTTTCACAAAATGATTCTCAAGAGAATCCAGAGACTCTCTATATGTACGTAATGTCTGGTACTTTACAGGTGCTTACAACAGACTTCTGCCCTACATCCTTATGGGCAGTTTGACTATCCTGATTGGAATCATCACCCTTTTTTTCCCTGAGAGTTTTGGAATGCCTCTACCAGAGACCTTGGAACAGATGCAGAAAGTGAAAGGGTAAGTGGAGCTTAACAAAATGATCCCAAAGTTCCTCAGGAAAAATAGACATGCAAGAAGTCTCTGAAAAAGAAAAGTGGTATGGAGAGCCTTGCTCTATCAGATAATAAAAGCATATTGTTAAGCAATGGTAACTGAAAGAGCGTGGTAATAGTACAGGAATAGAAACCAATGGAATAGGATAGAATTCAGGATGATGACCCCCAAAGTGCAAATTCAATACGTGATAAAAAGTAACAATTCAAAATCAGTGGGGAACTTAAGATTATTTATAAAAGGTATTAGAACTTTCAGCTAGATATTTTGAATACGTAAAAAAATTTGAAAACTGAAATTGAACCCTACAAAACCCTGAGATAAATTCCAGAAAGATAAAACATAAAAATGTAAAATCAGAAATGTACCAGAAGAAAACGTAACTATTTTATGACCTTAAAAAGGGTCTTGGGGGACCAGCAGGTGACATGGAGGTTAAGGCACTGGACATTCCCATGTGGCTGACCACGGTTCGAGTCCCGGACCTGATGGCTTGCTTTCTTACTTCCCCTTTCTCTCTTTATGTCTCTCCCTGTCAAATTAATAATAAATGAATGAATAAATAAAATTAAATAAACGATTGTTAAAAAAAAAGGGGGGGGCATCTTGGGACCAGAAGATGGCTTAATGGTTACTTCTCTGGACTCCTACATGATGGACCATGATTTGAGTCCTGGACCCAGTGGCTTGAAACTCATGCCAGGCCATGTGCATGCATGCCCCAAATCCTGAGAGGAGAATGGAAGAGAAGGGATTGTAGTGTGGCCATCCCCCAGGGGTGATTTCTTCCTTTCTGTCTCTGTCTCTCTAGAGAGTACACACCCTATAGCAAAAATCTTTAAAAAGGGGGGGTGGTGTCTTTTTAGGGGCCAGCAGGTGGCATAGTGGTTAAGGAGCTGGACTCCCATGTGGTTGACCATGGATTAAATGTTGGACCTGGCTTGAAACTCGTGCCAGACACATGTGTATGCATGTCCAAAATCCCAAGAAGAGAAGGGATTGCAGCATACCATCCCGTCTGAGGGGTGATTTCTCGCTTTCTGTCTCTCTGTCTCTCTGGAAAGCATTTGTACCCTATAGCAAAAATCTCTTTTAAAAAATCCAAAAAACAAAAAGCAAAACAAAAAGATCTCTCTGAGCATAATGTGAGAATCAAAGTGTCATAACGAAAAAGGCTATAATCAGATATTGATTATATAATTTTATAGTTTTATTATTTTTTTATACTTACAAAGAGAGAAAATGAGAAGAAAAGTGAGAAATCACCCCGCAGGGAGAATGGCCATGCCTCAGTTCCTTCTCCTCCATTCTCCTCTTGGGATTTTGGGCATGCATACACATGTGCCCAGTGTGAGTTTCAAGCTGCCAGGTCCAGGACTCAAACAACAACTGGCCCTGGACAATAAGTCCAATGCCTTAACCACTGTGCCACCTGCTGGCACCATGATATATTTTTTCTGATTTTCCGCTTTATTATTATTATTATTTTATTCATTGTCATAATTTTTTTAAGTTGACTAGAGAGAGACAGAGAGAAAGGGAAAGTAAGAAATCAAACTGCTAGGTCCGAAACTCAGACTGTGGTCAGCCATGCGGGAATCCAGCCACCTTAACCACCACGCCACCTGCCTGCCTCAGCCCCATGATTTTAACCAGGGAAAAATACTTGCAACACAAAATTTTTTTAGTAAACAGTGCGAAAGAGACTCATAACTCAGTAGGAAAGCTGGCAAAGGCCACAAACAGGCAGTTTACAGAAAAGGAGATGTAAGTACTTATTTTATGTACAAAGAAAACTTGTCCACATTTGGAAAGAAATGCAAAATAAAACAATTCAATGTCTTTTTCCTTTTTTTTTTTTTTTTGCCTATGAGATTGTGTCCAGGTTTTTCTTCCTGATGCCAATTCTGGTACCTATTGAATGTCCTACAATTCAGTTCAGTTTTGGGGTTAACATGATACTCCACAGGGTTAAGGGCTTAGTCTCATAATACTGCCCTCATTTCAGATGCCAGTAGCAAGGATTAGAGTCCGAGGTTACCCACACTTCTAACTTGGGTACCAAGTCTGGCATTCCCATACTCTTCTCCTCAGGCTCAATAATTTGCAAGAATGACTCATAGAGCTGGAACGCACTTAACTTACTGGTAGTAGTTTATAATAAAGGATCCAAAATAAACAGCCAAGTGAAGAGATACTTAGGACGAGGTCTGGTAGGGTCCTGGGCACAAGAGCTTCTGTCCCCATGGAGTTGGACAATGCTACCTTCTAGGCACATGAGTGTTGGCCAATTTGGAAACTCTCTGAACCCCACTGTTGATGAGTTCTCATGGAGGCTTCATCATGTGGGTACTAGTGATTATTCACTCTATCTCCAGCCCCTCCTCTCTGGAGAGTTCCTTCTAGGCTTCTAATCAAGGGTTAGTCTTTCTGGAGACCAGCCCTCATTACAAAGGTACTTGAGGACCCTGCCAAAAGTTGCTTCATTAGAACAAAAGATTCTCTTATCACCTCTATCACTCAAGAAATTACAAGGGATTTAGGAGCGCCATGTCAGGAGCCATAAACAAAGACCAAATACAATATCTTTCCATGAAACCACAGATTGACAAGCATTTAAGGATTAGTGGTCAGGGCCAGCAGGTGGCATGGTGGGTAAGGGTACTGGACTCCCACATGTCTGACTGTGGTTCAAGTCCCAGATCAGGTGGCTTGCTTTCTCATTTTCCCTCTCTTTCTCTCTCTCACTCTGATCAAATTAAAATAAAGTTAAATAAAATAATTCTTTAAAAAATATATACCTGGACCAGCAGTTAGCGTAATGACTATATCGCTGGACTCCCACATAGTCAACCGTGGTTTGAGTCCCAGACCCAGTGGCTTAATCTCATGCCAGGCGTGTGTGCGTACGTGCCCAAGATCCCGAGAGGAGAATGGAGGAGAAGGGATTGCGGCATGGCCATCCACCCTGGGGGGGTGATTTCTTGCTTTCCGTCTCTCTGTCTCTGTCTGTCTGGCGAGCACACGTGCCCTATAGCAAAAACCTCTCCAGAAAAAAGAAAAAAAGAAAAAATATATATATGCCACTTTAAATAGCATATCTTAACTTAAAAAAAAAAAAATCAGTGATATGGTAGCAGAAGCTTAGATTCTAGAGTCAAATAGCCTAGCTTCAAATCCCAAATCTAGCCCAGAGCCCCAGAGTCAATGCCGGTTCCCAGCCCAGTCCTACCCTGCAGTCACCTGCCTCCTCTTTCCTCTCAACATGGCAGATGCCGCCATGTCCTTCGCCAAGGACTTCCTGGCAGGTGGGGTGGCCGAGGCCATCTCCGAGACTGTGGTAGTGCCCATCGAGCGGGTCAAGCTGCTGCTGCAGGGGCAGCATGCCAGCAAGCAGATCACCGCAGATAACCAATTCAAGGGCCTTAGAGACTGTGCGGTTCGAATCCCCAAGGAGCAGGGAGTCCTGTCCTTCTGGCGTGGTAACCTGGCCAGTGTCATCAGATACTTTCCCACCCAGGCTCTCAACTTTGCCTTCAAAGATAAATACAAGCAGATCTTCCTGGGTGGTGTGGACAAGAGGACCCAGCTTTGGCACTGCTTTGCAGGGAACCTGGCATCCGCTGGTGCTGCTGGGGCCACATCTTTGTGCTTTGTGTACCCTCTTGATTTTGCCCGTACCTGTCTAGCAGCTGATGTGGGTTAAACTGGAGCTGAAAGGGAATTCAAAGGCCTCGGCAACTGTCTGGTTAAGATCTACAAATCCGATGGGATTAGGGGCCCGTACCAAGGCTTTAACATGTCCGTGCAGGGTATTAGCATCTCCTGAGCTGCCTACTGTGGTATCTACGACACTGCAAAGGGAACACTTCCGGATCCCAAGAGTACTCATATCTTCATTAGTGGATGATTGCATAGTCTGTCACCGCCTTGGCCGGGTGGACTTCCTATCCGTTTGACACTGTTCATCACCGTGTGATGATGTAGCCGGGGCACAAAGGAACTGGTATCATATACACAGGCATGCTTGACTGCTGGAGGAAGATTGCTCAAGACAAGGGGAGGCGAAGCTTTTCACAAGGGTGCATGGTCCAATGTTCTCAGAGGGATGGGTGGGGCTTTCGTGCTTGTCTTGTATGATGAAATCAAGAAGTTCACCCAAATTACTTTTGTTCTCCTGTGAACAGGCACGTCGTATAACATATCTTGAGCATTTTTGACAGCCTCTTGGCTGCCTATCAGTGGCAACTATTTGCTAGTTGAAAATGGGAAGCAATAATACTCATCTGACCAGTTTTCTCTTAAAGCTATTTCCGTGATGGTGGGAAGCTGCAGTTAGCGTAATGGCTGTGTCGCTGGACTCCCACGTAGTCGACCGCGGTTCGTGTCCCGGACCCGGTGGCTTAAAACTCACGCCGGGCGCATGTGCGTGCGTGCCCAAGATCCCGAGAGGAGAATGGAGGAGAAGGGGTTGCGGCGTGGCCATCCCCCCTGGGGGATGATTTCTCGCTTTCTGTCTCTCTGTCTCTCTCTGTCTGTCCGGCGAGCACACGCGCCCCATAGCAAAAACCTCTCCAAAAAAAAAAAAAAAAGCTATTTCCATGATGGTGATGATGATGGGACTCAGTTATATTTTTTATTTCTGTCACTCCTAATAAATAATGAATTTGAAGAAATAAAAACATCTAAAATACACACACACCCAAAATCCCAAATCTATTATCACTTAATGTTCACCAAACCTCAGTTATTCCCATCTATTATAAGAGAGGATTTCAGGGGTCAGCAGGTGTGGAAGTTAAGATGGCTGGATCCCACATGGCCAACTGTGCATTGCAAGTCCTGGACCCAGCAGTTTGAAAATCACACCAGGTGCATGCTCAAAATCCTTAGAGGAGAGTAAAAGGAATTGTAGCACAGCCATCTCCCTGGGGGGGTGAGTTCTCTCTCTCTCTCTTTCTGTCTCTCTCTGGTGAATGCATGCACCCTATAGCAAAAAACTAAAAGAAAAAAGAGAGAGAGAGAATTTCATATGGTTATTTTTAGGTTATACAAGCTAAAGTGTTTTCGGTGCCTGTCCATGATAAAATCTATGTGAATGGATACTGATCCTTGACAGAGCACACATAACAAAAGGGGCCCATTTTTTATAAGTTATTTTCTTCTAATGACATGAGGACTCCAATTTCAACTTTAATTGCCAAGAACTTCATGCTTACCTCTCAATTCTTTCCTCAGGGGAACTTTAAAAGAGTTTAAAGTCTAGGTTATATTTAACTAGAAAATGATCCGCGACATTCCAAATCGTAAAATACTAGATTGAAGCTCAGGAGATTCTTATTAGAGTTCAAATAATTACTTGTTCATTGATTAAGAAAATGTCTTCCAGTGTCAGTTGGCATTTTGAGGAGGAAGTTGTTGAATTTTTAATTTTCTTTAACAGCTATTTTATTTTCAGGTTCAGATCTGGGAAAAAGCCAAGAGATCCAATGGAGAGAGAAGAAAATCCCAAGACTCTAATAACAGCATTCTGATTAAATTTTCTACCCTAGTTGGTGAACTGGAAAACAGGCACGTTAAGACTCTGTGGAGAAGCAAAAGCTCTTCCTCCCGAAATGGACTGACTGTATCAATTGACACTAAAACAGACCTTGTTATCCAGAAGTGCTTGCCAGGGAGTAAACTCTGGACCACTTTTCCAGAACACTTCCTCGCTTTTACAAATACTTCTCGCGTGTCTGCCTTACTAGTTAATTCAAGGAAATGAATTTGTAAGGTTTTTTTGAACCGTGTTAATCAAGGACTGGTAAAATCCATATAAAGATGAGCATTCACCTCTAAACAGACCAATGCCATCCATGTAAAAAGAATACCACTGTATTAACACGGTCCTTAGATGACAACTGTGTGTGTGTGTGTGTGTACATGTGAAAATGTACAAGCAAACGAGCACATTCAAAATGACAAAAGTTTAGGGGCTAACCTGTGGCCTAGTGGTTAAGGGAGCTGGGTCCCACCTGGCTGACCATGGTTTGAATTCTGGTGCTGGGGGCTTGAAAATATGCTGGGGACTTGCATGTACATGCCCCAAATCCCAACGGATGAAGAAATGGAGAATAAGAATAAGGAATTGTGGCATGACCATACCCCGCTGGGAGGCGCTTTCTCCCTCCCTCTCTCTATTTCTCTGTTTTTGTTTTGTTTTTTTTTTTTTTTCTGTTGAGTACACATGTCCTCCAGCAATTAAAAAAAATTATAGCAGTTTTTGAAGTGAATTCAGATACCTCTGTCATAAGACAAAATTACAACAACTTAAAGATCTTAATCAGCTTTACTTGGGATTCTAGAATTGGGCAACCCTTTATTATGTGTTCCACTGAGCTGAGCAAAGACGTTTGGTTTTTATAGACAGAGAAGAACTAAGAAAGGCAAAAACAGAACAAAGAGTGGATTGGTCATTTCAAAGTTGCCTTCCTTATAAGACAGGGAGAGGGAAAGAAAACAATAGAAAAATAACTGGTTAACATCAGATTATTTTGGATTCTTTTTTTTTTTTAAGTTTATTTATTTTATGAGTGAGACAGAGAGACAACACCCCCATCAGGGTCTGAACACTGTGACCCACTCCCGGCTTCAGCCGGCCCAGACATGGGCCCTTCTGTGCCTGGCATTCTCAGGGAGGTCTCTGGACGTGACTGGGGACCTTCCCTTGTACATTGCCTCTCGGAGTCTTCTTATGATCATGACAGATAAATTCCTATCACTTGGGAAATCTCAGAGGTTTTAGGAATTCTATGGGAGGAACTGGGGTCAAAGACCAACCACATTTCCTAATACACCACCAGGGCAGGTATCAGTAGTATTCTGCAAGTGAGATGCGGGAGGATTCCACGTAGCCCGGCTCACACAGTGTGTCTGTCTTCAAGAAGGGAGCTAAGGCAGTTCTTAGCTTCTGTTTCTGCTGTTACACCTCACAGCCCACTGAGTGGTCCCCATTTGTTGGGCTTTCTTTGGGCACAGGGCTAAGCCTTCTGTTTCTTAAAACTGGCTTAAAGTACACTTGCTGGTAAACAAGAGTTTACACAGTGTTGCATTTTACTGCTGCACCGTGGTCCAGCCCAGGGTCTTTTCTTTGTACTGATTAAAGCAGAGGAAACTTCATTATCCCGCTGATAGAAACTGGCCTGCTTGGGAATCTAACTTCTCTCTCTCAGTCTCCCTTCCTCCCTCTCATGATTTCTCTGAAGGTCAGATACATAGCTTAGTCTTGGCTTGGTGACATGGAACTTCATGGTGACTCCATTGTGGTTTGGTCTTTTGGGCCAAGTGCAAGAGCTGAGCCCAAATCAATGGTCCTCTATAAATTTTATTTAACACTTCTATAACCAGCACTCCTTGGAGAAGCATTGATGGCTGTTATGGCGGAGTTTTTTGTTTGTTTGTTTGTTTGTTTTGTCTCATGCTCAACACAGAATGTTTCTGTAACCAAATGTGTGCACGCTGAAGGTGGGGGTGGGATTCCTCACACACCAAACACCAAGCCATTCTCCAACAAATACCAACCTGTAATTCATTTCTGATGTCATCTAACTGGAGACCATGCCAGAGTCCATGGGTTGAGGGCTCATCCCACAGGTCTGCCTTCACTGTAGATGCCAACTGCAAGTCCAGGTCACCTGTACTTCTGACCAACTGGCTGTAAACTGGGGTTCCTAAGACACCCTCCTTGGGTCTAATATTTGCTAGGACAACTCACAGAACTCAGAAAAACTCATTTGCTGGTTTATAATAGGGATACACATGAACAGCCAGATAAAGAGGTACCCAGGGTAAGGTCTAGAAAAGTCCTGTCCCAGTGAGGTTGGGGTGTGCTGCCATCCCAGGATCTACCTATGGGTTCATTCACCATAAAATCTTGTTCAAGAATTTTTGTTTGTTTGTTGTTGGGATTTTAGGTTTTTGTCATAGAGCATGTGTGCTCACTGGAGAGGAAAGAGACAGAGAGATACAAAGAGAAGGAAAGTGAGAAATCACCCCACCGCCTGGGGGGATGGTCAAGCCACAATCCCTGCTCCTCTCTTCTCCTCTTGGGATTTTGGGCACGCATGCACAGCTGCCTGGTGTGATTTTCAAGCTGCCAGGTCCAAGACTTGAACCGTGGTCAGCCATGTGGGAGTCCAGCGCCTCAACCAACAGACCACCCGCTGCCCCTTCAAAAGTTGTATAGAGCTTGGGGACCAGCAGTTAGCGTAATGGCTATGTCGCTGGACTCCCACGTAGTCAACCATGGTTTGCGTCCCAGACCCAATGGCTTAAAACTCACGCCGGGCGCATGTGCGTGCGTGCCCAAGATCCCGAGAGGAGAATGGAGGAGAAGGGATTGCGGCATGGCCATCCCCCCTAGGGGGTGATTTCCCGCTTTCTGTCTCTCTGTCTCTCTCTGTCTGTCTGGCAAGTGCACACGCCCTATAGCAAAAACCTCTCCACAAAAAAAAAAAAAAAAAATGTTTCATAGAGCTCGATCTCCAGCTCTTTCTCCTCCCCTGAGGTTGGTGAGTGGAGATGAAAGTTCCAACTCTAATCACTCGGTCTTTCTAGTAATTGGCCCCATCTTGAATCTATCTAGAGCCTAAGTAACTGTATTTGCATAAATTCAGGAAGTTATAGAAGGGTCTTCTTATGATCATGACAGATAAATCCCTATGTCTTGGGCAATCTCAGAGGTTTTAGGAGTTCTATGACAGGAACTGGGGTCAAAGACCAACCACCTTTCCTATTACACCACCACAGCAGGTAGCAGTAGTATTCTGCAAGTGAGATGCAGGAGGACACCACATAGCCTGGCTCACATGGCATGTCTGTCTTCAAGAAGGGAGCTAAGCGGGACCAGCAGTTAGCATAATGGCTATGTCGCTGGACTCCCACGTAGTCAACCGCGGTTTGAGTCCCAGACCCGGTGGCTTAAACTCACGCCGGGTGCATGTGCGTGCGTGCCCAAGATCCCAAGAAGAGAATGGAGGAGAAGTGATTGCGGTGTGGCCATGCCCCCTGGGGGGTGATTTCTCGCATTCTGTCTCCTCCTGTCTGTCTGGCGAGCACACGTGCCCTATAGCAAAAACCTCTCAAAAAAAAAAAAAAAGGGAGCTAAGGCAGTTCTTGGCTTCTGTTTCATCTGCTACACCTCACAGCTCATTGAGTGGTCCCCATTTGTTGGGCTTTCTTTGAGCACAGGCTAAGCCTTCTGTTTCTTAAAACTGGCTTAAGGTACATTTGCTGGTAAACAGAAAATCAGGAAAACTGTATGACCACTTAGATAGGTAGAGATGTCCCACAGCCAAGAGGGCTAAGCACCAAGGAAGAATGCTGATGAAGCCAACAATCTGGAGAATCTTTAAAAACTTACTTTCAGGGCCACGTGATAGCACAGTGCAACTAGATCCATAGGGGAAAGATTCCCAGTTATGTCCTGGGACTCCCTGGGCACACTGGACATGCACACATGTGCCTGTGATCTGGGCTCTCTGAGGCTGAGGGTGGATTATGGTGTGAACACCGTGTGGGGTACCTGTCTGTTTCTCTATACATGTCATGGGGGAAAAAATTTTAAGAGAGGTTTTTGCTATAGGGTGCATGTACTCACTAGAAAGACAGACAGACAGACAGAAAATGAGAAATCATCCCCCAAGGGGAGATGGCCACACTGCAATCCCTTCTCTTCTACTTTCCTCTTAGGATCTTGGGCACGCATACACATGCACCCAGCGTGAGTTTACGCCACTAGGTATGGGACTTGAACCGCTGCCGGCTATGTGGGAGTCCAGTGACATAACCATTATGCCATCTGCTGGTCCCAGAAGAAATATTTTTTAAAAAATAAACAACAAAAAACTGTTCTTGAAAAAAAAAAAAAAACTGTTCTTTTCCTGAACACGTGCCTCTTTCTGCTCAGTGTTCCATTGCAGCCTTTGAACCTGGTATAGGTCAGGTCAGCAATGCAGGAATCTAGTGCCACAAAGGAGCAGCATGATAGATAAAGGCCACTGGCGGGATAACCTACGATTATCACCATAAGCTCAGCGAATGAATGTCAGTTACATGCCTGATGATGTCTTAGTGTGCTGAGATGATAACATCGTTGTTCCTGGAGACTTGGGGCAGACACTTTCATAGAAAGTGGCTTCTTGGGACCAGCAGTTGGTGTAATGGCTATGTCGCTGGACTCCCACATAGTCAACCACGGTTCACGTCCCGGACCTGGTGGCTTAAACTCACGCCAGGAGTGTGTGCGTGCAGGCCCAAGATACTGAGAGGAGAATGGAGGAGAAGGGATTGAGGCGTGGTCATCCCCCCTGGGGGGTCATTTCTCACTTTCTGTCTCTCTATCTCTCTGTCTTTCCGATGAGCACACGCGCCCTATAGCAAAAACCTCTCAAAAAAAAGTAGCTTCTCCAAGAGCGGCACCGAGACAAGCTACTGCGTCTAGTGCAGCTCCAGTGTGACAGCGCACTCAGAAGTGGGGCGTCAATAACATTCGACAGGCGGCTTTGTGACATCATCTTCTAAAAATAATGTCCTCAAATGCAAATTTCATGATGTTATTTTCAAAAGGCCCTTTGATGTCACATCTTTATAAACTCAAGATCCTTGTTTTAAACTTTTCTGATTAACTCAGAATTTTTAAAATCTATATTGTCAGGGCCAGCAGGTGGCATGGTGGTTAAGGTGCTGGACTACCACATGGCTGTCTGAGGGTCAAGTCCCAGACCTGGCGGCTTGCTTCTCCTCTCTCTCTGGTGAGTGCACATGCCCTATAGTAAATTTTAAAAATAATAATAAATTAAATTAAATAAATAATTCCTTTTAAAAATCTATATTGTCATATTTTGAGCACGTTTTGTACCTGAAGCACTGAAACACTGACCCTGCTTCTTACAAAAGTTTATTCATTCTCTTGGAAAATTCAAACATCTAGCATTGCTAAAACCTCACATTTCTGAGAATGAAGACTGTATTTGGTGTGTAATTGTTCATTTATATCCTTACCTGATCCTCCTAGG